GGCGGGTGTCGAACCCGCGGGCTCAGGCAATCCACTCACCTCAGCCTCCCAAAGGCGCGGGATTACAGGCTGAGCCACCGAGTCCGGCTGACCAGTTTTCTTAAAAGAAGAAACAAAACAAAACCCCAGCTGACCAATCTTTTAGCTCCCTCAGGTGGAAGATGTTTAGTTGCCTAGGAGAACTATGACTGTCACTGATGATCATTACTGACAGAGCAGAAAAGAAAGCTGCCAAACAATTCCTTGTTCCTGGCCAACAGACTCAACACTGATTAAACTTATCACCCTGGAAGTTTAATAAATTTGCTATCACTAAATTTTGGTCTAAAAAAACACAAAAGTCAAAGCCAACCCCAAAACAGAAAGAAACAAAAGCAGGTATTGGTTTCTTGACTAATGCATAGTGACTAAATTAAAGATTCTGTGTATACTCCAGAAGTCACTGATAAATGTAATGTACTTGATCCATACTAGGGTAACAAATAACAAAGATTGATTAAGGGAATTAGGACTAAATTCCCTTTGGTTCTGGTAAAGCCACTCCTGTCTCACTAAGGAGGTAACTGTTTCTAGGTTTTCTTTGAAAAATTCATAGGCCAGGCTCGGTGGCTCAGCCTGTAATCCCGCGCCTTTGGGAGGCTGAGGTGAGTGGATTACCTGAGCCCGCGAGTTCAAGACCCTCCTGGACAACTTGGCGAGATCTCATCTCTACAATAAATCAAAAATCAGCTGGGCGTGGTAGCACGCGCCTGTAATTCCGGCTACTTGGGAGGCTGCGGTATCCGGGAGCGGCCACTGCACTCCAGTCTGGGCGACAGAGTGAAACTCCAACTCAAAAAGAAAAATTCATAGAAATAATCTCAATTTTCCAGTCAGTCTGACGACTGAGGTACATCTGACATTATCTAATATTTTTGTCACTGTGCTGTTTGAAAGCACACTGTTCTGGCTGTACCATTTTATTTTATATATTTAAATATAACTAACTTACCAAGGAATGCTGGTTCCTATTCTTAAAATGCCTAATTAAAAATTAATTACTACATAAATATTTTAGTGTAGCATTTAAATACTCTTAAAATTAATTTCTTATAAAAAGTTACACTTGTGTTTTTACTGTTAGTCTCAAGTGACTTTACTTCCTCTGCAATCAACTAATTTAGCAAAATCTTAGGTGCAAGAGTTAAGTGAAGCTTATTCAAAGAACTGCCTAACAGACTATATAAAGGAATCTAATTATAAAAGTTTGATGTACAAATTTAAATTTTTTTCACTAAAGATAACAAAAAAGTTATTTCATCAATTCTGGCTCAAAACCTTTAAAAAAAACATGTTATAAGCAGTAAATCTGACATAGTATAAAGAATCAAAATAGAAAGTAACAGTGTAATAAAAAGTAATAGTTTATGTTTAGTGTAAACTTTTCTGCAAAGATGAATATTCATGAATGATTTCCCTCTAAAAGATAAGTTTTTTCATAATCTAGTGGCTTAAAAACCAAACTCTTATAACTTGAGTTCATAACTATAAATGTACTTTTGTATGATAAGGACCACTAAAGCATATGAACTACTATAACATACTATAAATTTTTCTAGCTTGGTTGATTTGAATCAGAAAACTTGGTTAAGTCACCATTTGTTAATTATGTAATCTGAACCAAGTCACCTTGTCTTCATATTTTACATTACTAAGACATCATTTGCTTTTAGCCCATTGAACTGCTATGAGAATCAAATGCACTAAAGAAAACCACCTGAACTGGATGCTGTTTTTTAATTTTTTTAATTTTTTGAGAAAGCAGGATTTATTAAGAGGACAGAAAAGCTCCCAAAGTGAGAGGGGACCAAGGGGTTGCCTCGTTAAGTTAAAAAAAAAACAACAGAATTATCTTCCAACATTTCAGGATTTAAATAGTCCCTCTCTTATCCATTAAAATTACCAAAGTTTTACTACAACACAAATAGCCACGAGAAGTCTTTCTAAGAACAGCATCCTTCCAAGTGTTCTATGCCTTTTCAGAAATGATTCACTGCTAACTGAAAGCAAGATTAAGATCAGTATAGGCAAACTTGTTGAAGGTCACCAATTACTACCATGTGCCACAATGTAAAAAACAAACAGACAAAAACCTTTCACGTTTTTTGAATGTTGTATTTCTCCCAATAAGCTTTTTCCAATCTAGTGGCCAAAACCCCAAAGCTCTTATAGCCTCAGCTCGTAAGTATAAATGTACTTTCATATATTAAGACCATTAGGGCATATGAACTACTATAGCATTTTTCTGGTTTGGTTTCATTTTTCTAGTTTGGTTGACTTGAATCATATTTATATTTAGGCCTCATATTTATAACCTAGCATTATAATTTGGAGAGCTAACCTACAATTGTTAAAAAAAATCTGCATAGATACATACATGACCATATTCTTCAAGGTCTCCTTTTCCCTCCTCAAGTGTAACAAAATTTCCTGCTGGTGTCCTATGCAAAGATAATCGGCCCTTTTTGGACCTTTTATTGGGATCAGCCACTGGGTCCTTGAAGACATTAATCTGAAATCCAAATTAAGATAGTTAGAGAAGGAAGACTAATCATCAGAAATGTCCAAACTCTCATTTACAAAAGTATATACATAATTTATATGTAAGTTTTAAGGTATAACTAAATCACTTAACCAGTATAACTAAACCAATCCACATGTGGCTTTTAGAAGCATAACTTTTTAGCTTTTTGTGAAAGACAGACATCTGGAAAAGGTATAAACAGAACCCAAATCTTGGCTATTCCTTCTTATCTCTGAAGAATGCCTAACTCCATTTGTAGGAAGTCTTTGAGGATTCTAACATGTGACCTTTAAGGTATCTTTTTATATTACAAACTGCCTTCAAACTGATATTAAGTATAGCACGTACATGCTACTGAAAAACACACACACACACACACACACAACCATGCCAAAACGATATATGTACATATATATAAAAAGCTTTGGATACACAACTAGGATATTACTAAGGTACAGGCTTTCCTATTTCATAACTGTTCCTTTGGGTTACTTTTTCTGTTACCTTATTGTTAGACACAAAAGACTTATCAATCAATCACAACAATGTGCCACAATGTAAAAAACAAACAAACAAAAGCCTTTCAAGTTTTTTGAACGTTACGTTTCCCCCAATAAGCTTTTTCCAATCTAGCAGCCAAAAAACCAAAACTCTTATAAGAGAGCAGAATGTTGGTCTCAGGATGAAAACCTAATAGACCCAGCAATGGCAGCAGAATGAGAAGCAACACACGAGCCAATCCCAGAACTCTCCAAAGAAAGAGTAAAGCAGGGAACCGATGTCAGTGTTCCTAGGAGTCTGCAGCATCCCTCCACCTCTGCCCTTTGCTCTAGAGTCCCCAGCTCTCAAGAGGCTGGGAGGAGCTGTTCTGCTGCCTAGCTATTCTATGGCCACTGTAACATGATTCTGGTATCACAACCCAAATCTCATGCTCCACCTTCCTAAAACACTTTTGACATTAATTACATACTTGCTTCTCTTTAATATATGATGGGTAGGTGAGCTGACATTCTCAGTCTAGCATCGCTTTTTTTATCCAAAGCTATAAATATACTGAAGTAATGGGAAATGACTGACATGTAGCATCTCTCTTAAATAATCTTTCACCTTATTGTTCCTCCTTTTTCCAAGTCTCTTTTTATTCCTTAGGCACGCTACCTAGTATCTCCTTTCTTTCCTTGTTTCTGAGCCAAGGTCAATAGTACCTGACAACATATTAATAGCCCACATTAATAGCCATATTAACCTTTGACTATGGCACTCAATAACCACACTCTACCTAGATAATACATAAGGAAGGTACTAACACAGTAATAAAGGCTGACATACCCCCAGACCGTTGGTTACAACATAACTACACTTGAAGGAACAATTCAAGAGATCTCTTGTTAACTTCTGTAGTAAAGCTCCACCAGAACCAAAGGAAACATTTTCAATACTCCACTTTTTTTGTTTCATACCTTCTACAATCTAGAAGATTAAAAAACAACAATTAAAAAAAAGCTAAGTAATTTGGAAGAGGATGGAAGTTCTTTTCAAAGGGCAATATTAATAAATGAAGCATCCAAAAGCTGTTATATAGCACAGTCAATAATTAGATAGAACAAGGCCTTTAACAGAAATCAGAAGTCACATTATGCCATTAGGATTTAATTATTTTTTTTTACCATAATCATACAATTAAATCACGTGTTATGATTTACAAGTGCTTTTGCAATATTTTATGTATACATAGGTCAAAAAAGTAATCTGTTCTTATTAAGATTTACACAAAACCAATGTCTTCTATTGAGTCTCTGGACTGAAGTTGTGATGCTCAGGGGAGACCTCCTAGAAATGTAGAGGAAAGAAGTCTAGAGAGAAAATGGTAGGATACCTAAAGGCAAAAAAAGGAGAAAAATGTTGACCTATGCATAATAATAGGAATCTTCCTCTTGAATTCAGTACTATTTTTATGTCATTAATGAACCACTCTAATGAAGAAGTTTCAATGATACTTAAGACAACTCAACCCCTAACTGAAAAACAGATAAAAAAGGAACATGGACACTGTGTATTTTGTCCAACACAAAAAGATTTTTTGCTCCTTTTCCTAATTAAGCAGTTTCATCTTGGTACACAGTGGACACAAAAAGCTAGAAAAGAACTTCATGGAATGACTGTGAGTAGCAAAGTCCAAGAGTGAGGCTGCCAGTCAAGGAGAGAAGGCAATTGTTTTAAAAAAAAAGTGGATTTTTAAAATTTTGTCAAAATTAAGGCATCTAATTTAGTAAATGTGCAAAATAAAACTGCTAGATGAATTATTTTTCCTGCTTCTAAAAATCAATTCTGATCCACCTCCAATATGAATAAACGAGGCACTAAAGATAGTCCCCAACACAGGATAGTTTGTGACTTACCAACAGTACAAAAGTAATAACACATTCAGTAGAACATCAATAAATTACATGAGACATTCAACACTTTATTATAAAGCAGGCTCTCTGTTAGATGGTTTTGCCCAACTGCAGGCTAATATAAGTGTAAGGTAAGTGAGGCTAGGCTATGATATTCAGTAGTCTACCTGTATTAAAGGCATTCCTTTACATATTTTCAACTTACAATGGGTTTATTTACATGTGACACCATCATAAGCTGAGGATTATCTGTATTATCCTGTAGGTACACTCATAGAGGTTCGATTTCTTTTTTTTTTTTTTTTGAGTTCGAGTCTCACTCTGTCGCCTAGACTGGGGTGCAGTGGCCACTCCCAGCCACCGCAGTCTCAACCTGCTGGGCTCTGGTGATCCTTCTGCCTCAGCCTTCCGAGTAGCCGGAATTACAGGCATGCGCTACTACGCCTGGCTGATTTTTTGATTTATTGTAGAGATGAGGTGTCGCTGTCCAGGCGGGTCTCGAACCTGCGGGCTCAGGCAATCCACTCACCTCAGCCTCCCAAAGGTGCGGGATTATAGGCTGAGCCACCGAGCCTGGTTCAGGTCCGATTTCTTCAAGATATTCTTCCCATATCCCATGAGTGCATTTGCATCAACACAAAACTATTCAAAATCCTCTAATTGTTCTGTTTAAGGTTTCACCAACACCAAAGAGTTATATCTCAAAACTTAACTTCTTGTTCATGTAGTTAAAAAATAAGTTACAGTTTTGAATTGACTCTTGACTTAAAAATGAACATACAGTCTCAAAGTTTATTTAAAAAACAAACACAAAAACACAAAAAGGGGGGAAAACACAAAAAGGAAAGCAAAGGGCTTTGGTTTCTAAAGGGAAGTTTAAACACCTGACTAAACAACTAACTTAAACAGCTGACTATTAGAAGTCATGGAAGAGCACTGGCTACTGGGTTCTCTGAAACAGGTATAGTGCCTGCCATGCTCCTTTATCTGAAAGAGGGATACATGTGTGAGGATACCTGATAAAGTGCCTCAAAAGCAAGCATGGGTGACAGACCTTAACTGATACCAAGGACTAGCAATGGCAGTGGAATTAGAAGCATCAGATGAGTCAATTCCAGACTCTCCAAAGAAAGATTAAAGCAGGGAACCAATGCAGGTATTCCTAGGAGTCTGCAGTATCCCTCTACCTCTGCCTTTTGCTCTACAGAGTGTCAGATCAGCTGAGCCAAGGTGACAACAGCAATTAGATGTGCCAGCTGAGATTTCTACTTTCAAGGCCGTCCCCCTTGTCACTGCACATGTCTATTTCTTCTTTTCTTTTCACATGAAAGCCACTAATGTCCCAAGCAAACGTATTAGAGGAGTTTCTACTTTCCTTAAGAAAGGCAGTTTGGGAGGGTTAGGAGAAGAAAATGTATTTCTGTTATTACAAGAGAGATCTATTCCAGACACCTCATATTGGGGCCCTAAATATATATCACCACAGAAATACTGTTTGTTATACCATATAGTTCTCACCTACAAATCAATCTTAGGAAAACAAACTACTTATAATTTGATTAATGACTTTGGTACCACTAAGTTGTCAAAAAAAAAATTCTTTAATAACCTGTACTTGGCTGTACATTGTCTGAGACTGATATACATAAAAATGCCAGTGGTTCATGAAAGTAGCCTACATTATGTTACTAACATTTAAAATTTTTATAGCGTATTTCAAGTTATTAATTAAAATAAAATTATGACTCTTAAGAAGCTTATTTGGGAAACAAAAGAGGCAAAAGTTTTAAGACAATGCAGACATACTTCAAAAGTATCATTGGCTCGGTTCCAGACCACAATAAAGAACATGGCAAAAAAGTTGAGTTATACAAAATTTTTGGTTTTCCAGTACATATAAAAGGTGTGTTTACACTATACTGTGGTGTACTAAATGTGCAATATCATTAGCATATCTTAATTAAAAATACTTTTACTGCAAAAATGCTAATGATAATTTGGGGCTGTGGTGAGCTGTAGTCTTTTTGTTGGTAGAGGGTCTTGCCTCAGTGTTGATGGCTGATCAGGGTGTTGGTTGCTGAAGGCTGGGGTGATCATAGCAATTTTAAAAAATAAGACAATAATGAAGTTTGCCGCATGGATTGATTTTTCCTTTCACAAAAGATTTCTCTGTAGCACATGATGCTGTTTGATAGCATCCACTCACACTAGAATGTCTTTCAAAACTGAAGTCCATCTTCTCAAATCCCACTTTATCTACTAAGTTTATGAAATATGCTAAAGCCTTTGCTGTCATTTAAATGATGTCTGCAGCATCTTCACCAGGAGTAGATTCCACCTCAAGAAACCACTTTTGATGCTTATCCACAAGAAGCAATTCTTCATCCATCCAAGTTTGATCATGAGATTGTAGCAATTCAATTACATCTTCAGGCTCCACTTCTAACAACTGCAGTAACTTCCTCTACTGAAGTCTTGAACCCCCCCCCAAGTCATCCATGAGAGTCACACTCAAGTTCTTCCAAACTCCTGTTAATGCTGATATTTTAACATCCTCCCATGAACCACAGAAGTTCTTAACGACATCCAGAATCGTGAATCCTTTCTACAGGCTTTCAATTTACTTGGCTCATATCCATCAGAGGACTTACCCTCTATGGCAGCTGTAAGAAATTTATTTCTGAGATAATAAAACTTAAAAATAGAAATTACTTTCATCCATAGGTTATAAAACGAAAGTTGTGTTAGCAGCATAAAAAAAATATCAATTTCCTTGTATACCTCCATCAGAGATCTTGAGTAACCAGGTGTGGTAATATTTTGAAAGGGACCTTTCTCCTGAGCAGTAGGTCTCAACAGTATGCTTAAAATATTCAGTAATCCATGCTTTAAATAGATGTGCTGATATCCAGGTTTTGCTGTTCCATTTATAGAGCAAAGGAAGAGTAGACTTAGCACAACTTTTAAGGGCCTTAAACATTTTTGAATGCTAAATGAGCACTGGCTTCCACTTAAAGTCACCAGCTGCATTAGCTACTGACAAGAGAGTCAGCTTGTCCTTTATGGCAGACACTGACTTCTTTCCATCTGTGAAAGTCCTAAATGGCATCCTCTTCTGATAGAAAGCAATTTCATATACATTAAAAATCTGTTATGTAGCCATCTTCTTAAATTATCTTAGCTAGATATTCTGAATAACTTGTTATAGATTCTCCAATTGCTGCTTCACTTTCAACTCTTATGTTCTGAAAGTGGCTTCCTTCCTTAAACCTCATGAACCAACCTGTCCTAGCCTCAAACCCTTCTGCTGCTGCTTCCTCACCTCTCAGCCTTCACAGAATTAAAGAGAGTTAGGGCCTTGCTCTGGATTAGGCTTTGGCTAAGGAGAATGTTGTAGCTGACTGGATCGTTTATTTAGGCCACGCAAACTTTCTCCATATCAGCAATAAGGTTGTTTTGCTTTCTTAGCACTTGTGTGCTCACTGGACCTTTAACTTCCTCCAAAAACTTTTCCTTTGCACTTACAACTTGATAGTTTGGTGCAAAAGGCCAATCTTTTGGCCTTAGCTTTCAACATGCCTTCATTACTAAGCTTACTAGCTTTTGATTTAAAATGAGATGTGCTACTTGTCCCTTTGCTGAACATTTGGCCTACAGACGTGCACCACCACACCCAGCTAATTTTTTTTATTAATTTTTTTTATTTATTGTAGAGATGAGGTCTTGCCATGCTGCCCAGGTTGGTTTTGAACCCATGGGCTCAGGCAATCCCCTTGCCTCCACCTCCCAAAGTGCTGGGATTACAGGTGTGAGCCACTGCAACTGGCCCATTGTAAGGTTATTAACTGACCTAATCCAACACTGCTGTATCTCCAGAAATAGTGAGGCCCAAGAAAAGGGAGAGAGACTGGGGAATAAGCAGTCAATGTAGGTGTCAGTACACACGCAACATTTACCAATCAAGCCTCTTATCTGGGTGTGGTTTGTGGCATCCCAATTATAATATACAATTATACAATTATAATAGCAACATCAAAGATCACCGATCACAGATCACAATAATGAAAAAAATTTGAAGTATTGTGAGAATTACCAATATGTGACACGGAGAAATGAAGTGAGCACATGCTGTTGGAAAAATGGTACCAATGTACTTGACACAAGGCTGCCACAAACCTCCAATTTGTTAAAAAAAAAAAAAAATCTGCAAAGCACAATAAAACGAGGTATGCCTGTATAACACTTATACTATTTGGGTAAATCTAACAATAATAGTGATCACAGTCAATGTTTAATTTAGGAGAGGTAACAAGCCATTCTATAATTTCTGAAAAAGAAATTATAATCATTAATATAATCTGATTTAACACTATTTGAGCATGTGAAACTCAATTATATTAAAACTCAGACCTATGTGAGCAAGTCAAGACTTTCTATTTTATATTACAAGGAAAATTTCTTGACTGACATTTTCTTGTTTCAAAGTGATAATTCTTTAGACTCACCATGCAGGGTGGCCCAATGAGGATTAGAAGAGTAAGTGTAGTCTGGCTGGTACTTCTATATTTTAAGGTACTATTATTTCTAAACTGTAAGCAATGAACAGAGACTTATACCAATATAAACACTTATAAAAACACAATCATATTTAGTAATATCTTGTTTATCAAACTAATACAAAGAAGCTTAGTTAGAAGAATTGTCTTATTAAAACTTTTAATATAAAACACATACCTCTTGTAAGGTATTAATATCTACTCCATCCCCTTGAATAACTCTAAGATAAGGTGGCAGCAACTTGTAGCCCTTTGAGTTTTCAGTAATAGGAAACTTCTTACCTAAAATATCCAAAACCTGTATGGAAAAATATACATGCAACACAAATAAATAAAGTTGAAAAGAAGTATAAAGCTTTCCAAAGTTAAAAAAATGATTTGCTTTACTAGGCAATCTTGACAATATAAAAATTACTTTAAAAGTTTATAGCACTGTGTATACACTTTCTAAAATTTGGGCCCAACCCTTTCTAATTACATTAGAAACAGGCATGCTGCTTTCTATCAAGTCAATTTATACCATAAAATAGCTCAAAACAAAGTTTCTTCCCTCATATCTTTCAAACTATACCAACTGAAGAATAACAACCCTTAATATTAGGAGATTAAATAATAAGTATACTATTTTTAAGAAGTATAAAAGCATCATTTAAAAAACTCATGATTATACTTTTTATTTATACTTATTAAATACTTTGTTATTATTTGTATTACTTATTATATACTTTTTATTATTTGTATTCTGATTGTACCAGTAATTTTGTTTAGTTTAATTCTGTCTGACACAACTCAAATATTGAATCGCAAAGTTCAGAGAAATTGTGATAGGCAGGCAAAGCTGGAAATGAAGCATAGGTAACTCAGCTTCTCAGAAAGCTTGGTCAGAGACACTAAAGTCCTATAAGAGACATTTTCTTCTCACAACCATCACTTTCTTTTCCTAAATACATTGATTAAAGATCCTAAAAATGGGAAAATTCCATATTGATGAATCAGTTTGTTCTTATAACTAGCTGTGTACATTTTTATTAGATAACAGTAAAAACAAAAGACCTATTAAGTTTGCTAAAACCAAATACTGCAAACTAAAACAGACCTTCAAATTGGCCTATCATTTGGTAGAATAAAAGGCCTCCTTGGTTCTATGTCCTCTTTTCTTAAGCACTAAGTAATTTATCATCTGCTCATTAATTGAGAAATGTGGTAAAGCAGCAAGGTTGCAGCCAAAAAACCTACCCTGGATACTTGGCTCCTTATCTTACATGTGTGACTTTGAGTAAGTTACTTTAACCTCCCTAAGCCTCTTTCTTCTTCTATAACAGAGACAGTAATTATTACTGGGTTTTTTGTAGAGATTAATGGATACATCTTATGTAAATCATCTAATGTGATATTTTTTCTAGTAGTAGGCATCAAATAACCCTACTCTTATTGCTTTTTGAAGAAGGCAAACTAAGTCCTAAACATTTTTTTTTTAAAAAGCAACATTGCTACTTTAAGAATCAACAGTATCTCTAAAGAACCACTACTTGAAAAGCATTTTTAATTTCACATTGCCCTGCACATATTTCTATTTTTTTTTCTTTTTTCTTTTTTGAGACAAGGTCTCACTATATTGTCCAGGCTGGATTCAAACTTCTGGGCTCAAGCAATCCTCTGCCCTAGCCTCCTGGGCAGCTGAGATTACAGGTATGTGCCACCACATCTTGCCCTTAGTATTTCTTCTGCACTAAAAACTTCCAAGGTCCAGCAATGATTTGTGATAAAATAAAATAAACAAACCACAAGTTTGGTGACCAAATCACAGGAATAATTAAGACAATAAATCACAGAATTAATTAAAACAGTAATGCTATCCATTAGTTTTGAAAATAAGTAGAAAAGAAAATATCTTCTCAACAGTACATGACTGTCTAATTGACAGTATATAAATAATCTGTTAACTCTTGGTATCCTACATCTGGTTTTAATGTGTGACCTTGGGCAAATCTATTACTCTCTTGGGGCTGCGACTCTAAAATAAGAGACTGGTCCAGATAGCTCTGAAATGGTATACATAAATGAAAAGCAATGTTGATACAGTTGGGCTAAAGCACTTTAATAATCAAGTTATATATTAAAATTTACCTTTAATACAGTGTCAAGAGGATTTCCAGAATCAGGTCTGATTATTAGTGGTGCCTCTGTACTTCTTGACACTATTAAATGTCTTAGATCTTCGCCCCATATTTTCTCACACGCATTATAAATGTCATAGCTATCGCTGACCACAGATACAGGCACTGATGAAAACTGTGTTACTATATGTTCAAAAGCATCTTTTTCATGGTCTTTCCCCCAAGCTGTTATGGTACTAGAAAACAAAATGAAAATACAGATTTACTTAGGCAGACACATTACCTATTTCTGGATCACCATTAATGACATCTTCTCATGTTTACTATACTACACCGTCAACACTGCAGAGAAGATGAGTGAGTTAATTTCATGAATATAACATCACAAGGCAAATGAAATATGTGTGTTGACCACTCCTTAGCCAGTTAGTTTTTAAGACTATAAGTAACCTTATTCCTCTTCAATAGTTATTAACTATTAAGTCAGCCAACCAATTATAAATCTTTTTTTTTTTTTGAATTTCTGAATCTACTCATTTAAAATCAGTGAACTAAAAGTATTTAAAATATTTGCTGAATGCAAATACACTTTATGTCAAGATGTTGGAAAGAATGAATATCTACTTCCATTACTGTTAGGCAATGCAAGCACTTGATTTCTTTCTGTGAATTTTCAAAACCATAATATACCAGTAAGAGTAGGGACATACATTTTGTTTTCTTTCCAAAATCTTGCACTTAAGAGTAAAGCACTCAGGCAATTATTTATACTATACCACACATATATACAAGTATAATCAACTTGCTCTTCACCTGTTATATCTTCAAATGGCCAGTAACAGGAAGTCATGAATTTCCCTTACAGATTATCTACTACAAATTAATATATGCCCAGGGAATAAAAACTTTAATTTTTTTTTTAAAGAAAAATGTAATTAAGATGGGAAATATATTTAAAATATGAGTTTCTACTAGGCATGAATGGTTACAGTGATTTTTGCAAAGTGCTAATACTGGCTCTTCTTAGTGGATACATTTATATTTAATATGTAACTATAGGTTGAGTATCTCTTATCTGAAATGCTTGGTTGGGATCAGAAGTATGCTGAATTACAAAGTTTTTCAGATTTTATTATATTTGCATTATACTTATTGGTTGAGCACCCCAAATCTGAAATCTGAAATGTTCCAATGAGCACTTCCTTTGAGCAAAGTTTCAGATTTTGGATTATTTTGGATTTGGGATGTTGAAACTGTGTAAGAATTGTTGGTTAATCAATATATAATGTAAGTAATTTAAAAAAATTCTTAAACAGAATTTAACAATGAATTTGAAAATTACAATTTCATTATGTCAAGCAATTTTTCATTCTCCTTAATTTTTTAGTCTTTGCCTCTACCCTGTTCTCCTCAGTAAAATAAAGAGATATCCCATATATTTATTATAAAGCCCCATAAGTTTAACTCAAAACTGTTTGAAGAGTCATGACAATTTATGTCTGAAATTGTCATTTCATGCAATTTTTGTTTTCTAAAGGACTGAACACCTTTGCTCATACTGTCAATGGTAAGCTGGGAATAGCTGAGCATGCAGATTTCAGGGTTATGGAGATTTAGCTATCCAAAGACTACTCTTGTCTGAAATAAAGAGACTATTTATATAAAACTCATTTAATGAACATGAACACTGGAAATTTTACAACGTAAGAATAAACTTCCACAGGTTGAAGTCATTAATTACACAATTAGCTTATTAAAGTTCTATGAAGAGTCATCCTTTTATGCTACTTATATCATGTCTAACAAACTTAATAGTCAATTTTCATTCCTCATCTTGCTTTCTCCATGGCACCTGAATCTTCCTGAAGCTTTTTCTTTCCCTTGACTTCATTCAGTAACAGCTCCCACATTTCATTCCCCCCGACTTCTTCTATTTCTATGGTTCTTCTTTAGCCTCTCCCAAATGCAATGCTCTCTTTCTTCAAGCTAACCTGTCAAAGTCAATATTTCTCATGGCTCCAACATGGGCACTTGTCTTCCTCTGTAACACCTTCCTGTGTGGAACACTCATAGCTTTAAAATACAAAAAACAAAAACCCTTGTGGAGAGGATTTTCAGTATCTGAATCTTAGCCCTTGTTTTTCTTCTGGGCTCCAGATCCATTTTGTTAGATAGAAAGTTGAACATCTTCAACTTATCATCCCAAGACACTTCTTCCTACAGCATCCTCTATACAGTCCAATCACAACATCTATTCTTCTAGTACAATATGTGGTGTACAGAGATCATAAATGTTTGTGCAATGAATTCTACCCATGCTATTAATTAACCCCAATTTCAAGTACCAAATTAAATTGGATACTTTTCCAGAGTCTGAGCAAAAAGTATTTCTAGGTCCAGATTCATATACAATACAGAATAAAAGTAAGGTTCTAAATTTATTCTCTTATTTTGTTCTCTCATTTTAAAGTTCTTTTAGATGTTACTTATTTATCCTCAGTGACCCTCTGATGCTAGAGATGTAAAACTTTAGGTCTTCCTTGTTTGGCTGGATGGAAAAGTTGAAAAACAGAGAGATAAGTGACTTGCCCAAGGACACCCGTTATGTCAGCTGTAAGGTTACTCAAGTTTCCCAACTGTAAGTCCACTGCTCTTTTTTCTCTACTATGCTGATGCTTAATAGACATTTCTGTTAAGAACATCTGAAGCATCTGTATATATTGAGGAGGCAAATTTAAAAATGTATTTAATATTATGAGACCATAAAATGGACTTTTCACCCTGTGCTGACAATGTCCTTTTCATTTTAATGCGAAAGCCCCAAAGAAGACATTATCCTTATTCTCAGATTTATGGTATACTTATAATGTTACTAGAAACAAAACCATCAGTAGAAGATCTAGTATGTGCATACCACATTAAATTTTAAAAAGATGTACATATACCTAGGGCCAAAAGGAGAATACTCTAATTCGAAACTTTATCTGTTCAAGACACCCTTAATTTCCCAGTTTACTAGTCTTGAAACTTGTATGTAAAAATGTTCCACAAGGCCTTACTAATACAGCAATGCTCATCAATGTTCGCTGTCTTTATTCTCTACTGAGCCCCAACTCAAATCACCAGTGTTAGCAATTTTATCTCCCAAGTCATTGCTCATGTTTATCTACTTCTTTCCATTCATTTAGCCATTTGGTTCTGGTTTATCACCTCAAGACTGTTACAATAGGGTCCAATAAAGTCTAACTTGTGGTTTTTCTTGTTTTTAATCCATAGGATATCCTGCTATCAAAATACTCTCCAAAAATATTTCTCTGATATCGCTTCTTTGCTCAAAAACTTCAGGGTCTGCTCCCATTTGAAAATGCCTAATTAAGAATGACTTAGCATGATGTGTACATAATTTATATTCGGTATCCATATAAATTTGAGGGCCATTACTAATCCTAACTTGTCTTTCCAGTCTATCCTATGTTCCCTATGAAATCTCTCTGTTTCAGGCCTTATTCCTTAAACACATTCACACTCCTCTTTCATTACAACACTTGATACAAGGTAAGCATATAATAAATATTTACTCAGAGAACGAATATCCACTCAATGTTGGACATTAATTTTGCCATTCCTTCAAGAAGTGAAGATTTTACATACTATCTATATAAAAGCTTTCTTGATCCAGCCAGTGGAATATGATCCTTCCTTTCTTTCCCTTGCACCACTATAGCATTTTAATTGAACCTCTTTAAAAGAACTTAGAACTAACCAAGCAGACTATTACTAGTGCACTCTTTTTATCCTAAGGATAGGGTCAGTTTTTAAAAATATCTTCCTATTCCTTGTTACATCCATTAGACTGCCTTGCATAAGAATGCTGGTCAATTAATATGCAATAAATAGTAATAATGAAAAAGCTCTAAATTCTACAGCTGTATTCTAAAGTCACTGCTGGTTTTAGCACTCTGCAATTTTCAATATAAGTAGACCTTAATAAACGTTCCCAAATGATATAATAAACAACAAAAACCAGAAGTAAGATTTGACATACATTTTAAAACTCCATTCACAGGCCGGGCTTGGTGGCTCAGCCTGTAATCCCATCACTTTGGGAGGCCGAGGCGAGTGGATTGCCTGAGCTCGCGGGTTCGAGACCCGCCTTGGCAACTTGGCGAGACCTCATCTCTACAATAAATCAAAAACTAGCTGGGCATGGTAGCGTGTGCCTGTAGTTCCAGCTACCTGGAAGGCTGAGGTGGAAGGATTGCCAGAGCCTAGCAGGTCGAGGCTGCGGTGGTCGGGAGCGTGCCACTGCACTCTAGTCTGGGCGACAGAGTGAAACTCCAACTCAAAAAAAAAAAAACTCCATTCACTTTCTAAAAAGTTAGCTCTAGGACCAGGGCAGCTGTAGTTTAGATTATAATTTCCTTTTAGCTTAACTGGATATGGTTTAGTAAGAGCAGATAAAGAAGCTTAAAAATAATCTGAACACTCTTCCTTTCATCAGAAGGTCTTACTTTCTCATCTGCAACTGAAGATACTAGTTCCAGAAGACTATTTCTAAGGCATAAATAGATAAGGTCATATATAAGAACAGAGAATGGAAAAAAGTGACCAATATTTACAGTGAGTGCTTCTAAGCTTAATTTAATGAATAAAACGTATCTGCATATGGCAACACTTTAATTGAACAGAAAACTCTTAAATTAAAACATATGGTAGTATCAGTGTTGGAAAAAAGTTCTTAAACTGCTTCTTCTAGGATAGTTAATTCTTCTCTACCTCCCTGATTCTTTATACAAAATATGAATAATGAATTTGAACTGCTCAAGTTGCTGAAGATTTACTATAATGCCTGGCTCTGTAGTTAGGCAAAATATCACTGAGTTACAAACACAAGAATAAAAACATTAGTGGTTTTAGAAAATATATGTTTAGGTAATAGGAGGATGAAAACAAACAGAATTTTACCTGTGTTCTGCTGCTGGAACAGAATAGCCTGGAACAGGATCTTTCGTTCCATAGTATTTTTTAATTAGAGCAATTCCTGCAACTGTATCTGTTCCTTTGAAGTTAACCAAATGAGCAGATGCTCCTATTCCAGCAGTCTGGAAAATCAATCATAAACCAAAATCCAAAAAAGAGAAAGAAGAAATACCCGTATTTAAGGTATAAAGCTTAGTTCCATCTGTAGCTATTCTCAGAAGTATTTAACTACTATCAGAGATAATAATTGTTCCTTATGACAAAGACTGTTTTTCCTAAATATTTAAGGATTCAACTGTTATCTCCTCAGAGACCTATTTAATAGTGCCCAAACCCCCACTTCCCACCACTCTCTCTTCCCTTACCCTGCCTTGTGCTTCTCTGTTGCATTATTTGACATCTGATATATTTATTATGTCTGTCTCTGTTTGTCCATCCATCCGTCCATCCATCCATCCATCTAATATATAAAGGACAGGGACATTTGTTGAAGGCTATATCCCATGTACCTTGAACAGAGTAGGTACTTAATTGTAAGTAGTTAACATGTATATGTTGGTTGACTCTGAAATTTTAAAATGTGGCCTACTAAGACCAATCCCAATAATGTCACCAAAGTCTATAGTGATACTCTAACCAACAATCCACATTTTATTAAATGAGGCTGGTTTCAGTTTCTTACCTCTTGGGAAGAGACTCCTCTGTAGCCAAAATCATGTAACTTGTATTCCAGACCATCTAAGTTACCAGAAGTTTCTAACAAATATTTGGCCAATATTTTCTTCTGTTCTCTAGAATTTGTGGCCACTGTGATTGGATACCAGGACTGAACAAGAATAGTCTGTAGCAACAAAATTAACCACAAATATTAATACACAAAATATTGTGGTTTTTTTTTTTTTTTTTTGAGGAAATCCTAGCTCTCTGTGGAGGTATCTCCTGGAATTCCATATTCTTAGAGACACCAATCTGACATTTCAACTGTACAGAAGGATGCCTACCATGCATTTCAGAAAATATACATAGTTCAGATCTCAAATCAACAACCAGGCCCTTAATGGTATTACCAAGTTTCTATGCAAAGCTTCAAAGCAAATAATATTTTGAAAGACTTCCTGTGATGAAGGGACCAATTAAAAAAAAAATTTCAATCTGTCATGGACCAATAGTTTATAATGTATACTCACACTTGGATGCTAAGGTAACGTCAAATTGTCCTAAGTTTCCAAATGCTTATTTTGGATTTCTGTACTTAATGTGGAGTTGTTAACAAATGGGGCATGGACTAGCACTAGCCCATGAATTGCATCTTGAACAGATGCAATATTGGTCTAAAGAAGTTATTAATTTACTACTCTAGGTAGTCTTGGACCTGATTTTTCCTTGGATCTAATATGACAACTGGCAGATTATATACTTGAGACACTTTAGCTTATCACTAGAAAACTCTATTCCCCTAGTTATACTTTATGTCCTCAGCTTTTATGAAAGGTCTTAAATAAGTCCATAAAGCCTATCTGCATATGCTGGCTGTATAACTGCAAGGTCACTATCTTCTTTCTAATTCAGTGACTCTAAGCTCCCAAATAAAAAAATGGAAGAATTGCTAAGTTTCTACTATCTGATAAGAACTTGGTTCTTATAAGTTCCTTTGTTTCCCCCCCCCCTTTTTTTTTTTTTCTTCCAGGAAACTTCAAAGACAACCTAACGTTTAATCACAGCAACCATGTTATTATGGCTTAGAAATTCATTTCTCCAATCTAAGATCATAATTTTCTATTTTTATTTTGTAAGCCAGATAGTATGTCATTAGAAGCAGCTTCCAATCTGTTTTGGAAAGAGCTGCTAAGATGATGGCAATATCTGATATGAATAAAAAAGACATTTAATTTCTTGATTAAATTTGATAAGGTAAGTTTTTACTGAATACCAGCTAAGTGATCAATAAATAAAACAAGTAAAAACAAACAAAAAGATGGTTTGATCTAAGACTTGCCAATTTGGTCACCTTAAAAAACAAACAAATAAACAAAAAAACAAAAACAAAACCTGTAGCATTAGACTCCTTTGACTGATTAAAATACGGCCTTTGCAGCAGCTCTTCTCATCAAGAGATGGAGTCTATTCCTCATCTTGTGATTCTGCACCATCCTTAAGATTTGCTTTTGATCAACAAAACATGGAGAGAGTCTCATCCTAAGTTCCAGTTTCAGAAAGTTCTGCAGTTTCTACTCTTATTCTCTTAGAACCCCCAGACTATCACACTCTGAAGAAGTCTGTTATACAGTGGGATCCAGAAGTCCTAGCTATCTCAGTTGAGATAGGAGACACAGTAGTAAGGTCATTAGACTATCCAGTCCAGTTTCATCCTCAGTTAAATGCAGATGCATAAGTTCAAGCAAGACTAACAGAGGACCACCCAATCAACCACAGACTCATGGGAAATAACAACTGTTTTTAAGCTACTAAGCTTTGGGGTAATTTGTTATGCAATAGAAAACTGGTGTAACTCCGAACTTAAACTCCATAACCTCTGACCATTCTGCTTGCGAAATGACTTTTGATTATACAGCTAATGCCCATGATTTTCCTACCTCTCATCTTGAGTCTATTTACTCTTTATATTGCCCCGTCATCATTCTAAGGCAAGTTTTGTGCAGGTTGCACCATTTCTTAAAAGCTTTTAATGGCCATCTACTGTTTATTAGATGGAAAAAGTCAACATGTACAAGATTCGAGGCCTTCCAGAATCTTGCCCTGTTTACCATCTAGTTTATCTCCAATGACACTTTTCACTTTTATGCTGCAGTCATAAAATTGGATTTTTTTCATTCTAAGCATACTGTGCCATTTCCTCAGCTCTTCCTCCCACTTATGAAAAGCTTATTATTTTTCATTTCATGATTCCCTAGATAGAATTACCTATTTTTCTGCTACCAACTTAGCACTAGCTTTTAATAATATTAGTGGTTAGTTAAGAATAAATTGCTACCTCTCCCTCAAAGGTCCTTTATATGAAACATATCTTATTCTAATTTCTGTGCCCAGCAATTATTTTTGTACAGCTGGTACTTAATCAATATTTATTTGCTGGATTTAATTCAATCAACTCTCACATTTTAATTCAGTTCAAATATTGATATTATCTAGGAGTATGAGAAAGATATAAAACATCATGTGAAAAACTCTAGTTGTGTTATAAAGGTAGAAGATTGACCTTACCCCTCGAAAAATGCCAGGGAAGGAGAGAAATAACTATCAGACACAGTGATCCTTCACATCACCATTTCCTTTCCATAGTCCAACAAAATCAGCTTAAATTATACTCTTAATAAAATCACTCCCCTTTTAAAAAGATCACTGTAGGTGTAAGCAAGGGAAAAAAAGGCAAGTTAGTTTGTGTTAATCCAAGGTCTAATAAAGTAGGCCTTGTTGGAAACTTTTCCAAAACAGCAATTTGCCCATATAAATCAAGACAAAATTATTAGCTGAAAACGAAGACTAAAGTAGATGAACCTATACATTCCATTTCAGAAGTATCTATTCTCAACCCCCTCAAAAGCCTGAGACAGCTTTGCAGGACTCCTAGGCTCTCTTAAATTTGTTTTGAAATATGAGAGGACTGTGGTTTCTTCTAGCACATTAATACTGAAATTAATACAGCAACTCAATAATTTTGGTGTGTTTAAAATTCAGCGTAATACTGCCAGGTGAATAACAATCAGTAAATAGTTATTAATAACTCTGATGCTGGGCATGGTGGCTCATGCCTATAACCCTAGCACTTTGAGAGGCTCAGGCGGGAGGATTGCCTCAGTCCAGGAGTTTGAGACCAGCCTGGGCAATGTAGCAAGACCTCATCTCCACAGAAAAAATTTTAAAAATCAGCCAGATGTGGTGGCACACACCTGTAGTCCTAACTATTCGGGATGCTGAGGAAGGAGGATCGCTTGAGCTTAGGAGTTTGAGGCTGTGGTGAGCTGTGATTGTGCCACTGTCTTCCAGTCTAGTGATAGCGTGAGATACAGACTCAAAAAACAAACAAACAAACATATACACAAACACTCTGAACATATACTGAGACAGGGAATTGAAAGCAATACTATTTAGTACTATTATTTAAAATGTTTAAAATCAAAGACTGCCTTAAGATCATTTTCCAATTTGTAAATGACGTTTGTTGGGGCTGGTAACAGATTTCAAACATAAGGTGGTAAACTTAAGAGTTGAGGATTTCTTATAGGGTGAACTTCCTCAACCCCACAAAAGATGCAAAATGTCTATAAAGAAGTTTATTCTGGAGACCTGGTATTCAGAGTATACATGTTTTTCAAAACATAGGATCTGGCAATCTACAGATTTAATTCAATACCCATTAAATTATCAGCAGCATTCTTCTCAGACCTGGAAATGACAATAAAGGAATTCATATGAAAACCTAAATGACCATGAGTGGCCAAAACAATCATCAGCAAAAAAAAACAAAAACAGAGTGGGAGGTATCATACTCTCAGACTTTAAACTTTTATAAAGCTATAATAATCAAAACAGCCTGGTATTGATACAAGAACAGGCACATAGATCAATGGAACAGGATAGAGATTCCAAAAGCAAAACCTCAATTCTCAACCAATGCATCTTTGACAAAGCCTCCACCATCAACCACCGGGAAGAGGAGAACCTATTTAGTAAACGGTGGTAGGAAAACTGACTGACCACATGCAGAAGAATAAAACAAGACCCCTACCTATCACCATACACAAAAATCAACTCTAAATGGATCAAAGACCTAAACATAAAACCTCAAACTATAAGAACCTTGGAAAACACGGAGACCTCTTATGGAAATTGGAACTGGCAACCAGTTCCTGATCAAAATTCTAAGTGCCCATGCCATAAGAGATAAGATAGACAAGTGGGACCTCATCAAACTGACAAGCCTCCGCAAAGCAAAAAAAACCATCAAGAGAGCAAGGAGAGACAGCCCACAGTCTGGGAAAAAACATTTGCCAACTATATATCTGACAAAGGCCCAACATAAAATCTACAAGGAACTCAAAACATGCTGAAAAGAAAAAAACAAACAGCCCTATTACAAAGTGGCCAAAAGATATGAATAGACACTTCTCAAAAGAAGACATATAAGCAGCCAACAGATACATGAAAAAATGCTCGGCCTCACTAATCACCAAAGAAATGCAAATTAAAACCATACTGAGATACCACCTAACTCCAGTCAGGATGGCCATCATTAATAATTCTAAAAACAACAGCTAATGGAGAGGATGCCGGGGTGGGAGTGTAAACCAGTACAACTTTTGTAGGAAACAGTTTGGCGATTCCTAAAAGATCTAAAACTCGACCGTCCATAAGACCCCGCAATCCCCCTACTGGGAATATACCCAGAGGAGCTTGTATCACTCTATGAAAAAGATACCTGTACACATGTTTACTGCAGCATTTACAATAGCAAAAACATGGAACCAACCATGCTGTCCATTGAAAGAGGACTGGATAAAAAAAATGTGGTACATATACACAATGAATATTACACAGCCATAAAGAAGGACAAAATTATGAACTTCACAGCAACTTGGACTTAGTCTATAATACTGAGTGATCTGTATATTACAAAAACAAAGAACTGAGAGCCACATGATCTCACTCACAAGCGGACCTTAACTATAATACTACAAGAAAGGGATTGGCAGTAGTTGGAAACTGCTGGGGGGAGGGAGGGCAGAATTGGCAGTAGTGGGAAACTGCCAGGGGAGGGGGAGGGCACACCTCATCAACAAGGGTACCTGCATAAAGAACATTTGTATACCTAAACTTGAATTCTACCCCCACATCTTCAAAATTAAAAATTAAAAAAACAACAACAAAACCACAGGATCTCTGAAACTACAATAAGAAACAGACAGTATCAGACTATAAATTCTTATGCCTTAGATACAAACACCTAACAAGGACTAAAATAATTTAAAATACATTATTAGCAGAAGAAGGTAAACTTAATATAGGTTGTTTCAGGTTATAAGCAACTAAAAACAAGATTCTATATACTTTTAAAAACACAAATCTAATAGTTCTATATTGATTTGTGTTGAATAATTTCTTTCATTAAAGATAACACATATATTTGCTAACAAACTACCACTTTAAGGTGACTGATATAAATTTTCTTTTTTAAAAAGTCATGGTCTCACTGTTGACCAGGCTGGAGTGCAGTGGCACAATGACAATTCACTGACTGGACTACCACCACATGATGTCTTTGTAGAGATATGGTCTTTCTACGTTGCCTAGACTGGTGTTGAACTCATGGGTGCAAGTAATTCTCCTACCTTGGCCTACCAAAGTGTTGGGATTATAGGCATGAGCCATCATACTCAGCCAAAATTTACCTTATGGTTTCTTAGGTGAAATACATAAAAAATAATAACTTTAAAAAACAGAAGTTTTCTTTAAGGCCAATGCTTTTTCACTTCAAAGAGGACAAAGAAAATGACACATGAGGCAAAGTGAAATATTGATAACTAGTCCTTTACTTTCATACATATCCGCTTTAAGAAAGATCCATCATACATAAGGAAAAGTTCTTACTGACTAAATCCATAGTCAGAAAATGAAGAAGAAAAATATTTTTAAAATGTAATCCATAAATGATGATGTTCTAAATATGATTTATCTGTTTGAGATCTTTTGGTATTTAAGGTAAAAGACTAGCCTAGATGATGTGGTGAGGAACTCTTCTACTGGGGTCTTTATAATACCATCCCCACGAAATCAAATATTTGCCACTACAAATACTATTTACAATTGGACAAAAATTAATATTAAGATCCATTCTCTTTTACAATGATTTCACAATTAACTGATCATTTTAATACATGGTGTAGGCTATTTAAAATCTTTACTTTTTTAAACTATATATTTTTATCCTACTACTATAGTTAACAACCCATCAAGAGTCAACTAGGGATGTGTCAAATTTCCTGTCAGCTTGGCAAAATGAATTTCAAACAGAATCTTGAACCTCTTAGTTTTTCAAAAAATTTTTCAGTGTTTATAAGTGAACTTCAAATGTATTATATTACAACATAACAGCAAATTAGTTTAACCAATTAACTAATTAAAGAGTCAACTTGAGAACTAAGTAAGTACCTTCAGAGAGGAATGTGTTATTTCTAGAATGGTTACTTTCTAGGGTATTTCCTCTTACAGATAAAATCTTTATTAAACTGTTGAGATGCTGAGTAGATTATTATTATTATCAAAACTGTAACTATGTGAAAACATATGACTACTTAGGTATACATGCAGGGAAAACAACAACAAAAAAACACTTGCAATATAAACCCAGAGCCAATAATGTACACTCCTTTTGGGCTTAGAAATTAAATAATATAAATAGTAGATCTTGTTTGTATTTGGATAAAAAGCTGAAAAAATATCAGATGGTAGAACCCAGGGACATAAACTGATTAGAGAAAAAGAAAGAGTGTAGTTATTAAAAATTGAAACAAGCCGGGCTCGGTGGCTCAGCCTGTAATCCCGCGCCTTTGGGAGGCTGAGGTAAGTGGATTGACTGAGCCTGCGGGTTTGAGACCTGCCTGGGTAGCAAGACCTCATCTCTACAATAAATCAAAAAAAAAAATCAGCTGGGCGTGGTAGCACATGCCTGTAATTCTGGCTACTTGGAAGGCTGAGGCGGAAGGATCGCGGGAGCCCAGTGGGTCGAGGCTGTGGTGGCCGGGAGCGGCCTTTGCACTCCAGTCTGGACGACAGAGTGAGACTCCAACTCAAAAAACAAAACAAACAAACAAACAAAAAAAGTTGAAACAAAGTTCTTTTAGTCTGATACAACGTATCATAAAATGTCTCTAAGTTATTAGAAATGTACTAGTGCTGTTTTTCTAATTCTCAATAATTTGATTTGGATAAAATCTCAGAACATTAGATTTCACTAGAAGGAATCTTAAAGATTATTTAGTCTATCATTTTATAGATGAAGAAACTGAGGCCTGGAAAAGTTCATTGTAGGAGATTTTGTAAGCTTTATGAGCAGCAAATTCTTAACTAAAATTCCAATTCAACAGTCTTTACACTGTCAATTAATGTTAAGTAAGAATTAAAAATAAAACAAAGCAAAACAAAGATTCACCTCAATCCAATTTGTAAGCCAGTAACACTCTGGATCTGTGTTTTCCACTGTGAAGAGAACATTTCCTCTGGGAATGACAGAGCCCTCAGGAACAGCTTTCACTTCTATTGGAAGATGCCCATCATATTTCTGGTAGGAGAAAATAATAAATTTACTCATTCAACAGCTGATACTCAATTACTTGTTTTATTAAGGTTCTTTACATTTTACAGACCCACGAGACAGGCCAAGCACAGAACTTTGACAATCAACACCCAAATCTCACTTAAATGACTTCTTACTAATGCAACAATCCCCTTCAAAATTAGACTGTGGGTTATTTGCTACATGGCATGCCAATAGATATTTAAGTGTACCTCCTTCCATCTGTCCCTTTTAAAGCTAAAAGTTATGGCTAACTTTTCACTAGGAAGGCAAGTAGTTTCAAAAGTATATTTATGCGATTTGGGAAAAGGAAATTAAAGAAAAATCTGTTTAAGAAGCCCTGGAGGCATCAAGTTACAGCAAAATGAACACTGCCTCACAAGTCCCGGCTTGGACTCAAAAGCAATCGGAAGACCTTGGGCAAGTCATTTAGTATCTCTAGGTCTTAGATTTTATGTAAAATGAGGTTAGACAAGATTTTTTTTTATAGAACCCCATAATTCCCTAAGATTTTCTGATCATATAATCAAATGACTTAGCACCCTGGCCACTGGAAATTATAATAAGCATGGCACCAAACTTATTACTGTATTTATCCTCACAACAAACCTCACACAAAAAAGAAATAGGGCAAGCACATAAGTTAGCCCACAGAATTTACTAACCTTATGTAAGATGGGGGAAGGTGCAACACAGTGCTTACCTGACTTTTTAAAAGACCCATAATGAGTAAAACTCAACATGTAACATAAGCATGGAAGTCAAGGCACTTCTAATTATTTTGTGTTTGATAGACTGTACAATGTAGAAGACTTTTGTTTGTGAAACTTAAATTAATACTTTTTTTTTTTGAGTTGGAGTCTCACTCTGTCACCCAGACTGGAGTGCAGTGGCCGCTCCTGGCCACCACAGCCTCGACCTGCTGGGCTCCGGCGATCCTTCTGCCTCAGCCTTCCAAGTAGCTGGAACTACAGGCGCGCGCTACCACGCCCGGCTCATTTTGATTTACTATAGAGATGAGGTCTGACCAAGTTGCCCAGGCGGGTCTCGAACCCACGGGCTCAGGCAATCCACTCACCTCAGCCTCCCAAAGGCATGGGATTACAGGCTGAGTCACTGAGCCCGGCTTAAATTAATACTTATCATGAGCTGCCAGTGGAGTCCATTCCCAACCAATCTTTGTAATAAAGGAAACCTCCAGAGGACATTCAACTCTTCTAATTCAATTACCATGGCTCTGAGTACCCAGAAGTTTAAGCAATGAATTCAAACATATTAGACATGAATATTGTAAAACAATAAAGAATAAAAATCAACTTCATAAATCTGTACCAAATCACTCTAACTATTCAGTGAGAGAAATTTCCCGGAATTATTATGTAGTTATAGACTCACAATATCTATTTTCACAGTCAAGGAAATAGACCTAGATTTTGAAATTGCCAAATAACCATGCCCTTTCCTAACTATAATGTATTTAAGAGTAGATTAAATTACCTTTCTGAAAAATGCTAGTTATTTAAGTTATAATTCACTTACATTAATTATTTAGACTTGCTATAGATTCAATATGCTGATGATTTGCCAATATAGAGGCGGGAAATCAAATGTTACCCTTAACTTTTCACAAGGACGTCTAAAATTCAGGTCAAACACAAAAAACTGCAATGAGTCTAATTTTCTATTCAAATTTCTTTGCAAGAAATTTTGAACAAAAAGCAAAAGCAAAACCAAAACAGATCAGAACACTAAACCATTTTAAAATCATTTTTTACCTCAAGAATATAGTTCCATCCCTTTTCATTAAAGACATCATCTTGGAAATGTTCTTTGTAGACCTCTTTGGCTTCCTGGATTTTCTCTTTGGTCACTACTTTACCTAAAAGATACATGTCTTGTTTACATTTCTAAAGATATTCTGTGAGTTGCTAAATTGTCATAGAATTAATGTCTTAACTATTTTACCCATTCTATGGCTTAAAAATAAAATAAATGAGAGATTAAATAAGTCACCCAGAGGCAAAAGCAGAGTCAGAAAGGAACCTGTACTTCCAACCACTCACTCTAAGTATGAATGCCAATTCATTTTAAAAGCAGATGTGTAGTAGAAAAAATTACTACTTGTATAGTATTTCTTTAAAACCACAATAAATTCACCTCTAAATAAAATCTTTTCCATCACTATTAATTTAGATGCTCTTTAAGTTTGAGATGTTTCAAAAGCTTCTTATATCCAGATGAACCACCTCACTTTTTATAAAAACAGTGACGTCTTCAGGGTTAGGAAGTCAGTAATTTTCACAATTACTAAATTTTTGCTCCCCATACACTTTTAATTAACTTTTCTTATTGTAAATGAAGATAATAGTTAAATACCCACTTATAGGATGGCTATGAGGACTAAATGAGTTAGACATATGAACCACTTTCAATAATGCTTGTCTAGAGCAGGCAATCAACCCATTTTAGCTATAATTAATAATAAATAATATTTTTTAGAGTTTTTAAGCTGTAGAACCAATTAAAGTGTGCTATCAGTCTTTGATAACTTTATACAAGATAATTAGTAAACTCATTTAATATATCTGGGGTATTCTTGCCACAAAGAATTATCTTTGATTTCTAGCTATGCTTTCAATAGTATAACATTATCTGAATTGTCTGATCTTAAAATAGCCAAGATTATGGAAAATGTTATTATCTGCATAACATTCAACTTAATCTGTATTCAATTCTGAGATTATTTTTACTTCGAAAGATTAGATATACATTTTTCAAGATGTGTAGGATGTTTGGGAACTGTTTTCCCCCAGAAATATCACTACAGAAATACACTAGAAATGGTCTTTCAAATAAGAAATCACAGAAATTATTTGGGAGATTTTTCTGTTTTAATGTGTATTTGAAACTAAGTTCACAGATACAGGTTGTTTTAAAAATAATTTTTTAAGGTAAAATTAACATAAAAATATTTTAAGTATAATGTTACCATGATTCAATATGAGCTTCCAGGTCAATAACAAATTCTTTATTTTAAATAATAACTAAAATTTATTACCAACCAGATTAGCCTCCAGAAATCACTGATTTTTCTAAACTTATTCCAAAATTTATCAGTTTCAGAAAACTTTTCTCATACTTAGATCTACAAGTACATACACCAAACTATAAGATTTAGTGCATTCAAGTGAACAGATTTTTAAAAAGATTCTAAAAGAAAGAACTCCTAAAGTAGTTAAATTAGAACTCCTAAATTATCAAAATTAGACTATTCAAAAAGTTACTTCACATGGTAGAATATAACAATATAGGAAAAAATAGGAAGTATTACAGAAAAGCAGTGTTTTAAAAAACTAGGAAAAGTAATACCTTTTAAGTACTTATTAAGAATGTACTGCAACCCATAAAATACTGTTTCCTCATATTTCACTTTCCTTATTTTGGAGTTTTCTGTCTTCTTTTCACGGCATTCAAAGTAGGAATAAACTTTGCTTGTGTTGGGTGGGTACTGTTTATAGTGAGTAACCTATATAAAAAAAAAGACCACTCTAGTTAGTAAACACCAGAAGAGTAGGCTGTAAATCATAACAGAAATGTTTTATTACAAAACCAGAAAAATTATATGTCTTATTTGTTCTCTAAAAGTTTGTTTTCCTGGCTACATAGAATAAAGAACAGGTATCTTATTTATTAAGATAGTTTAATGGTTTAGTATATTAAAATAAAAACCACAGGAGTGTGTTAAATTTTTAAATAAGCACAATGAACTTAAGTACAAGGATCCTAGGCCAAAAAAAGTATTTCATTCAATCTTGAGCAATCTTTCCCTCAGGAGACGAGAGGAGCAACTTTCTGGGGGGCACATTCACAACATAAAGAATGAACTAAAGCCAGGCTCAGTGGCTCAGCCTGTGCTTTGGGAGGCTGAGGTGAGTGGACTACCTGAGCCCGCGGGTTCGCGACCCGCCTGGGCAACTTGGCGAGACCTCATCTCTACAATAAATCAAAAAATTAGCCAAACGTGGTAGTGCACGCCTGTAGTTCCAGCTACTTGGAAGGCTGAGGTAGAAGGATCACTGGAGTCCAGCAGGTCGAGGCTGCAGTGGCCAGGAGTGATCACTGCACTCCAGTCTGGGCAACAATGTGAGACTCCAACTCAAAAAAAAAAATTTTAAAAATGAATGAACTGAAAGGCACCGGTACTACTACTATTTAAATGTGGTGCGCTCCATAAGCTAATAATCAATGACTTATCAACTCCTTCATTTGTACAATGAGGTGCTGAGAATGATCACTTTTGGCCTTTATAGTGACACTATGAAAACCTGAATGAATGCAACAGCCATAGAAGCAGCGGCAAAAAGAAAAAAAAAATCCTGTTTCGTAATCTATCTTTCTCTCAACTTAGCTCTAATTGGCAAGTAAGTTCCTATACAATGTCGTATCAAACCCTTCTGAGTTAAAAAAATATGAAAAAGTCTTATCACAAGCTTCTCTTCCATAAACTTGGGTAAAGGTCACTATTATAAAAGTATCTGAGCCGGGCTTGGTGGCTCAGCCTGTAATCCTGCACCTTGGGAGGCTGAGGTGAGTGGATTGCCTGAGACCGCGGGTTCGGGACCCGCCTGGGCAACTTGGCGAGACCTCACCTCTACAATAAATAAAAAAATTAGCCGAGTGTGGTAGCGCGTGTCTGTAGTTCCGGCTACTTGGAAGGCTGAGGCAGAAGGATTGCCGGAGAGCAGCAGGTCGAGGCTGCAGTGGCCGGGAGCATGCCACTGCACTCCAGTCTGGGCGACAGAGTGAGACTCCAACTCAAAAAAAAAAAAAAAAGTATCTGCTTTTGTTTTAACGACAAAAAGTAAAAGCTGAGTGTTCATTATAATTTTATTCCAATGTTTTAACCATATTAAAAATTTTTTTGTGTTTAAAGTATAATAATGTGTATTTGCCCAGTTGGAAGAATAGGACTAATAATGCCTTAAGATTTAAGGTATAGGGTGAGTCACAGCAATGGTGGAATAAATCTTTGCAGACCAAGTTTCATGGGTGACCACTGTGAACATGAATCCTTTTTCTTATTTTGCTCTCATCTCAAGTTTAGAAATGTCAACATTTTCTTTATTTGGCTGTGCAATCTCAATCTCAGTAAAACTTGGCTCTATCCTGAACAATCTTTGTAGCTTAGCATAAGTATTCTAAGGTGAATATATTTCCATTGACACTTCTGAATGAACATCTTCTGTTTCCTTGCTAATGGAAGCATACTTGCAACTCTATAAAAATAGGCCCTTCTACTGCATGCAGGCAACCCTGGAGGTAAATCTCTATAGTAAAATGTGATCTAAGAGTCTAACTCAGGCAGAAGACTTGAGGTTTTCTGTTTTGCTCAGGCACAACAGATATCTAAACACTAAAAGGTATAAGGAAGGCTCATTGAAACCTAAAAGTATATGCCAGGGCTTTTTAAGGTTAGAACCCAGGGACTGATATCACTATAAGTTTAAGAAGATCTAAAAGGTGGCTAAGTAAGATAGTTAACACAGAATCCAAAACAATTAAATCTATTAGCCAAATCACAAAATGCAAAAAGCAAGTTAATATACATTTATGAATAATACTCTAGTAATATCCTGTGATCACTACTTTGATTACTTAATTAGAAAAAGACTCCTCCTGGCTGGGCATGGTGGCTCAAGTAGGTAATCCCAGCACTTTGGGAGGCTGAGGTGGGAGTACTGCTTGAGTCCAGGAGTTGGAGACCAGCCTGGGCAATGCAGTGAAACCTCTACAAAAATTTAGCCAGACTTAGTGTCACATCCCTGTAGTTTCAGCTACTTAGGAGGCTGAGGTGGAAGGATTGCCTGAGCCCAGGAAGTTGAGGCTGTGGTAAGCTGGGATCATGCCACTGCACTTTAGCCTAGGGGATAGAGTGAGACTCTGACTCAAAAAAGAAAAAAAAAAAAAAAAAGAATCTAAGTTGTCTAGGTAAACCCACAGGTAGTTAGCTATGAACCATAAGTCACTACTATTAACCACCTACTAACATCCAACACACTTATAGGATACGGAGCATGTTTAGATCTTATATGGGCATATATTCACATTTTTCTATTGTAAAAAAAATTTAACAGCAGAGCTTCTTTAGTAATCATTTCTAAGAGTACAGCCAATAGATGATTGTTAACAATTCTAGTTTTGCTAGTTTACTGTCTTCTTCATGCTAAATCGGTCATTCTGAACCTTCACCAGAAAATGGGATGATACAGCATAAATTCAAATCAATCAATTCGTATTTTACAAATAGTTTATTCATTCACAAATACATACTCTACAAATAGTTTATTCATTCACAAATACATACTCTAAATACATACTCTACTAGGTATCAGGCACTGACTATTTCAGATGGGAAAGTTATAAGCAGACTGACATGGTCCTTATTTTCACATGGCTAGTGAGGATTGAAGGGGAAAGAGAAATATATGAGGGGGGACCAAAAAAAAAAATGGAATTATCTTTTGGGAGGCAAGCCCCCTTGTAGTACACTTGGAATCTGTTCCTCCGAATCAAAAGGTCAACCAAAGTTTATAAATGGAAATTTTGAGAAGGTTGAGTCACGATTTGCAGAAGAAACATCCTGTATTGTGGCAAACAGATGACTGGTTCCTCCACCATGACAATGCCCACATCGTGCTGAGTGTTCAGCAGTATTTGATCAAAAACGGCATGACCCCCCTGTACCCCACCTCCCTATTCTCCCAAGACTTTTTTTGTTTCCAGATTAAAAAAGTGCTCAAATGGAAACATTTTGCCCACGTAGAAGAGGTGAAACAAACAAAATGGCAGAAGCACTTAAAGGTTCAAAATTGACAAGTTCAAAAACTGTTTTAAGCAGTGGGAAAAGCATCTTGATAGTATTGCATCAAACAGAGAGTACTTTGAAGGTGACTGAAGTTTAAATATAAGAATAAATACATAATTTTTAATACATAAATTCTGAGTTTTGGGGGTAATCCCCTCATATAAACAGTTTCAGATCAAGATGGATACTATTACAAATATTTAGAGAATGATGGGTTACATGGGGACTGGGAGACTAAATGGGGCACCAGGAAGATTTATTTGAAGATAACACATGAGCAAAGACCTAAATGACAAGGAGACAGGAAATGCTTTGGCATAGGGACAGAACAGAAGGAAGGCCAGTATAGCTGGTGCTTTGAGTATGGGGGTGAGAGAGAGCAGGCACATGGTAAGGTCAGAGGTAGTTAAGGATAAGATCATGTAAGGAGCCTCCATTTTTATCAAGTGCAATGGAAAGTCATTATGCTTCAAGCTGGTGTGAATATGATCTGACACATTTTAAAAAGATCAGCCTGTTGGTAAACAGAGAATGGATTACCGGGGTTTCTGGAGTGGAAGCAGGAATTAAGAGGCTTTTAGGTTAGATGAGAGAATTGGCTCAATATTTTTGGAGGTAAAGGAGGACTAGGCTAATGAATCAGATGTGGGAGATAAGGTGGAATTAAGAGTACCTCCTAGATTCTGGCCTGAGAACCGAGTTAATAATGGTGCCATTTTTTGAGAGGGAAGGCTGTGGAAAGGATGGGTAGGGAAATGAAGAGCTCAGTTTTAAATGTCAAATAATACAAAAAGTTTCACAGTATTCTAAATTAAAATTCACTACAAAAAGGAAGTTCTTAAATCATGTTAATTTTTTAGCACTGTTTTAACTTCTATCACTAGAGAAAATGGTTCTACAATAAATATAAAATTATTCACCAGATGTAGACAAAACAGACAACATCTGATAATATCTCAGCAAATGTTACCACTGAAAATGTTTCCTAAACTGGCATGGCCCTCCTATAGCTAACAGATCACTGCCTGAACATAAAAACATGTATGATAAGGAACATAAGCACACACAAAAATTTAGTTATTTTAACAAAACTTAAGTTTACAGTTACATGATTAATTTCCTTCATGAAAAGATAAGCTCCTAAAATTACTGTATATTAGAGAATAATAACTGTTCTTATCTTAATGCCCAGAACAAAAAGGTTCCAGCTCTGAGTTTGTAACATATGAGTTTGTAACAATAGGCAGCTTTTTCCATTTGAAGTGTTGGCCAAGCAAATGCATGAAAAAACTGTATTTCCAAGGCTAAATATTCTTGTTCCAAGTAGGACAGTCAAAAAAGAGTATGGACATGAGGTATGTTTAGGTTGAACAGAATCTTTCAGGGAGAGTAAAGTTTAGTTTTCATCAGATGCTTCTCTAGATGTCCCATAGGGTTGATTTGATGTCTTTCCAAGATCTTTCTGCCCACAAAGGAACCATGTGACCAAAGGCACTACTATTAACCTACTTTTTCATTTATACTTTTATTTTTAACTGCTAAGAAATAATCACAAGCCAACATTTAAAAAAATAAGGTGTATATGAGATCACATGGGCTAACATATCCAAGGTCACAGAGCAAATTATGTTATCTACATAATATCTAAGGGCCATCAGAAGAGGATCTACTCACCCCTACACTGGCTATCACTTTCTGCCTCTTCAAAGCTAATGTGCTGGAAACAGCAAAAATCCTAAATGAGTCTTCTTTTCGGTATTATTTAAGCTTTCTCAAACTCTGGAAATTCATCTGTTTGCTCAGATAATAATTCATTGCTATTTGGCTTTGAAGCAATAATAATTCATAAATATGGCTTAAGGATTTTTGGATTCTATTATTTTGGGGAAGGAGGGAAATTGCAGAACCAGCTATAATCATACTGCCTCTTCCCTTAAACCTCTTGGCATGGAGTTTTTAAAGGCCTGTACTTCTTACCACACCTTCAAAGTAGATCTCATTAACTCACAATGAGAACATCAGCTTAATTATTAATGGTTTAAATTAATCTTCCTATGAAGTATATTAATGATTTATATATTTTTATCTCTATTGCCCAAGTTGTTCCTATAGTTTACAATATAAAATTTACTGGGACTGGACACGGTGGCTCAGGCTTGTAATCCCAGCACTTTGGGAGGCTAACATGGGAGGACTGCCATGAGCCCAGAAGTTCAAGACAACACAGTGAAGCCATGTCTCTACAGACACTCAAAAAATGAGCCAGGCATGGTGGCACACACCTGTAAGTCCCAGCTACTCAGGAGGCTAGGACAGAAAGATCTCCTGAGCCCAGGAGGTCAAGGCTGCAGTGAGCCATGAGTGTGCCACTATACTCCAGCCTGGGGTAATAGAGTAAGATCCCCAACTCAATTAAAAAACAAACAAACAAACAAAAAACTTTACTGGAACAACTGAAATATGTTAAAAGTGTCACATACATTTTTATTAATATATCAAATGAATGCATAGGTAGTCTCTGGGGTACAAACTGCAACAGTACCTCCCAGCTCACAAGGCTGCCTGGGGAGCCACTGTGACAATACTTAAGTATCTGTTCAGAAGCAGTGAAAGACAGGCAACTATGAAAATAGGAACACTGAGGTGGAAGGATCGCCGGAGCCCAGCGGGTCGAGGCTGCGGTGGCCGGGAGTGGCCACTGCACTCCAGTCCGGGCGACAGAGTGAGACTTTGACTAAAATAAAAAGAAAATAGGAACAGCTCGGAGGAAGACACTGAAAAGCTAGGTACCAGGCAGAACCAACTTGTCCATGACTCTCATCTATCTCCCAAATCTTTTCCTCAAAAAAACCTGAACTTTTAAGACTTGGTATTCTGCCTTTAAGGGAAACAACATTTTTCCCAAAGATTGCCTTGAATCAGCCTAATCACCATATATATTATACAGCTCTTTGAAATTTCTATAAAATCAACTTTCCTACATGCTGGATTTTAAGATACTACTTATCTCTGTCTTTTTTTATAACACCCAATAGGTCTCCAATATATATTAAATGAGTGGTTAAAAAATGCTGAGTTCTAGATAATCAGCTTACAAATGTACCTTTGAGAAGCAACATAACTAGACAGCACATTTCATAACTAATGTGTAATGTGGCTTAAATTGTAAATTGCTTACGTATTACTTTTGTGCACTACATGTCTTTTCCAATTACAGCACAATCAACATCTTCCATTAATCTACTATAGGTAAAATGTTCAGAAATGTTAAAGCTATTCTCTGCTGTAGTTGTTTTAAGCAATATCTGTGTGGAAGGGAAAGGAACAGAAAAGCATCTTTTGATGATCTACAGTTATTTGGAAACTCATTGATGGTCATCCCAGAGGGTAAGTGAAAAGTCCACCTTGTCTCCTTTACAAAAATGTTCCAAATGCTATCAATGGCAAAGACTAGCCCAATGCATCTTCCCCTAGTTGGCTTAGAACAATGTAAATACAACTCAGTAGATAATTTTGCCTTAAGCTATTTTGAAAACACAAATGATTAACACATAAGATTATAGAAATGAATATATAATCCAAATACTCCCCCTTTGGCTCAAATTGTTTGGGACTCTTTCGAGAGGATACAAGTAAAAAAACTAAATTTTCACATGTCATGTGCTCAGTCACCATACCATCTACTTGCAAAAAAACTCTGTAGAGCTTAGGCAATCAATGACAGTATTGTTTCAATTTTATAATGAAGAAATTAACAATACTTTCAACACATGAAAACTGCTCAGTTCCTACTTTAATTGGTCAACAGTTTGTAAGCACTGATAAGGATACATAACATTCTTATGTAACTTCTAAACAAAAGTTTCAATATTTCTAACCTCAAGATTATCATTTGTGTCTCTTCTCCACCAAAGAAAATAACAAGACAAAAATGGAAAATGGATATAGGACCATTAAAAGTGTAAGAAAAATGAAACCTAAGGACCAAATAAGACTGCAGAATACACAATCTATTTTAGTGTAGAGCAGTGAGCCACCGGTATACAACTACTGGTATACAGCAAATCAACCCAAATGAATTCTCTTGAGGACATTTCTAGGGGCAAAATGAAAAATTATACTAAGATGAAAATCTTCTGAAAAGCATTTATGTTAGAAAGGGGATAAAATTTCAGAGTCTGACTTGAAAACGGACAGGAATAATTTGTATTATATAGGTGCAAATTCTAATAGTGCAGTTAAGTATGCCTTGCTAGATTAGAAAACTAAGGTAATTCACTATTCCAACTAAAAGCCTCCCAGAAAACTTCTGTTAAAGCAATTTTACATTCCTTATGCATAATGGTTAGAAGAACTG